AACTCCATCTCTATCTGTACATCTATAAGTGAAATAATGGCTATCATTCTAATGTTGCAGTGTCATCAATCTGATAACTCTCAAGAGAAGGGCATGTTTTCCTTTGGTTTTCTTTTTGGCAGTTGTGACCTTGATATGCTGGGGAAAGATTGTGTTTAATTTTTAAATAATTAATTATTTTATTTTATTTTATTTATTTGTGGCTGCATTGCGTCTTTGTTGCTGCACGCGGTCTTTCTCTAGTTGCGGCGAGCGGGGGCTACTCTTCACTGTGGTGTGTGGGCTTCTCATTGCGGTGGCTTCTCTTGTTGCAGAGCATGGGCTCTAGGTGCACGGGCTTCAGTAGTTGTGGCATGCAGGCTCAGTAGTTGTGGTGCATGGGCTTAGTTGCTCTGCAGCATGTGGGATCTTTCTGGACCAGGCCTCGAACTCATGTCTCCTGAATTGGCAGGCGGATTCTTAACCACTGTGCCACCAGGGAAGCCCGAGTTTGCTTTTGAGAACAAAGTTACTAATTGGGAAGGTGCCCAGTGACCATAGCTGTAATCGGTAGTGATTCCATTCAAATTTGCTTGCAGGGGAATCTGATCTGATCCTTGGTTCTCTGATTACATAAGCAATGAACCTAAGCTTTGTCATCTCACAGGGAATTTAAAAGGGGAAGTAGAATTTCAAACCCCTCTGCTCCTCAATCACATTTGGTTTCCTTTAGAATCAAAAATGATCATAGTATTTTCTCATAATGTATTCTAAAACCTCCTGCTTCATCTTAAATAATGTTCCTCTTCCATTTATCATATTGCTTCTTACACTGCTCTTTTTCTCAAGATCAGTCTCTGAGATTGTTAATTTTATTTATCAATATTTTGTTCAAAGAATCAACTTTGGATTTGTTGTTCCTTTCTATTAACTTTTAGATTATTTTAAGTTTATTATTTAATTTCTTATTTCTTATTATTATTACCTTAAAATATTTCCTAAATTTTATTTTCTTTGGGTTTATTTTATCGCTATTTTAATAATTTCTTGTGTTGGATATTTAGCCCTTTAATTTTTAACTCTTCTTTTCTAATATAAGCATCTAAGGTTATAGATTTTCCTCTAACATTATTTTAGCTGCATCTAATGAGTTTTCATATGTATAATATTTCTTGATCATTTAGTTTTAAATGTTTTCTAACTCCCATCCTACTTTCTTCATATTGTCTAAAAAGCAAAGATTATTGTATCATTTTACTACATAAAAATATTTGTTGATTTACTGTTGCTTATTCATTTATTCAGTATTATTATTGAACACCAATTGTATAGTAATGTGTTAGACCCTCTCTAGGTGCTGAATATACACTGTTGAATAAGAAAAACACAGTCCTTAGCCTCATGGAATTTAAAGTCTAGATTCCTAAAAATGGAATAGCATTAAAATAATAAAATATTTCTTGTCAAAAATGTTAAGGCATGAGATATCTGCCACTGATTTAGTATTTCATCGGTAGAGGAAATTGTATTGGCTTCCACCTGGCCTTTCCTACCATGACAACCCTCACTCCCACATCAGGGAATCAATGCAAGGATTCTGCCAGCAGCTAAGTACATTTATTCTAATTATGTGTTCTAGAACTGGGGAAATAACTACAGGATGGGCTCACAGACCCACTGGGCCCACTGTGAGATGAACCTGAGTTAAATTCCATTGATTTCCTGACCTCCACAGGCCCCTTCTTTGACGGTGGGCCACAGTGACGTTTTGGGTCTCTTGGAATTAGTGTCAGTCCAGAGCCAGTGTCCAGAACTCCGGAAAGGCACAGTTACCCTGGTAAAAGGCTGTAGGTCCCTTTGGGGAAGGCTGGAAGAAAAATGAACAGTATAAAGTTTGGGTAGTGTACTAGGGCCTTTCTCCTAGGAACCTGGGTCTGTAAACGGGCTTATGTCTGGGAAATAACTGAGAAACCATGACTTTGTTTTTATGATTCCGACGAGACTTTTGTTCATCTGACCTGGAAATTTTCTGTGTATATAGATCGAGGAAGCACTTAGTAGGCTTCCTATCTATTTCACTTCTAGAAGCACCATGATCCATTAGCCAAATGCCATGGATATATACAATGTAGACTCTTGACTGATGCTTTAACTCTACTATCCGTTATGATAACACATGCACCATGCCTCTGGAGGTTGAATGCTGCCAGTTGACCCCTGCCATGCTGGGATCCAATTATTCCCATTGTATTTAGGTTTCCTGATTCAGTGACTTCAGTGTCTGCTAAGGTCTGGCCTGCAAACAAGAGTGGTCACGGAGCTCTTCAAGGATACTGAATCTCCCTTCACAAATTTCTTTCTCACATTTGTGGAGAGTAGGTTTGTTTGCTAGACTCTCCCATCGTGTGAGAATAAGCCTTATAAGTAACAAATCGACTCTAACATTCCAGTCTTTCCAAACTTTTGAATCCCTTCCTCTACATTAAAGTAAGGCAGAGGTAACATTTCTCAATGGCTCACTGTGGACCACATTTTGGTCCATGGTTTGGCCAACCAAACACACCGTTAGAACCCTTCCTAACGCCCTGGGCTGCAACACTGAATGCAGAATCTAAGCTCATGAGCTCATATCAATACATTTGGCCTGATCCCACTTTATGTTCCTCCCACCATTATCCACACCCTCAGTGTCCATTCCCACACACATCCCTCAGATTTCCATCTAAATTAGAAAACCCATGCAGTTCTTCTGGAATGTAGCATACCTTCTCATGGGTCACACTTTGTACCTCACCTTTAGAGGCCCGCTGTGATGTGAATCTAGTTACAGGTCTAGAAGCAAAGAGGAGTGTTCAGGGGGTTCTGAGGAGAATCAGGATAGTCTTTTATGGCAACTGCCTCAGGGGAGTTGATTACAGCTTCCTCAGGCAATGCAGGTTTAATCCCCTTTGACAGGGGTGAAGAGGCTGTTACCTACCATTGGCGATGGGAAAGCCTCTCCCTCTGGGGGTGGGGAGGCTGCTTCCAGTAGCAGAGAAGACTCATCAGAATTTAGGGGTTCAGTGTCTCTCGTTTCATCTGGGTCTTCCCATACCAACTTAGAGCATCCCATTCTTTCCCAATTTATATCCTTACTTTCACAGTAGATACCCTGTGAGGATGGGAGTGCAACTTGTAATTCAACCAGTCACAAGATAAGATTCTGTGTTTGATTTTCAGCAATCCTCGCCCCGTGGCTACAGGAGATAAAGCTCTCTTTAGGGCACTAGTAGACACTTTCAAGGCTTTGAAGCAGTACTTGAGCTGGGAATTCAAATCCCTGAGCTCATCCTTTACTTTCACCACTTTGTCCAGTGACATTAGGAACAACCAGGCAATCTCATTCTATTTGTTAGTTTTCCCAAATTGTTTGGGAAACAGTCGCCCACCTCCTTGCTTCTTAGGAGTGGTTGATTCGGAGTATCCAGTGGAGGTATTTTGCATATCTCTATTGCCAGATCAGTCCACGGACTATCAATTCTTTCTTTACCACTAGGAATAGAGTAATTAGCATTTTTAAATCTAATCAGATTAGAGAGTTGATACCAGAAACTCTTGAAACAATTTGGAAAACTCATCCTTAAACTTCTGTTCCTCTAGAACCGCTCTTGGTACCAAAATATATATTATTCTGGGTTCTCCATAGATATAGAACCAAAAGGATGTGTGTATGTGTGTGTGTGTGTGTGTAGAGAGAGAGAGAGAGAAAGAGAGAGACTGATTATAAATTTTTGGCTCAAGTAGTTATGGAGGTTGAGATGCCTTAAGATCTGAAATTGGCAGGCTAGAGACCCAGGTGAGCCAGTGGTATAGTTCCAGTCTGAATCTGAAGGTACGAGAACCAGGGCCACCAAGGATGTAAGTTCCAGTCTGAGCCTGAGTCCAAAGGCAGGAGAAGACTGAGGTCACATTTGAAAACTGTCAGATAGAGAGGAATTCTTTCTTATTTACAAGAGGTTAGGTCTTTTTGTTCTATTCAGGCTTTCAACTGATTGGGTGAGGCCCCACCCACATTCAGAAAAGCAATCTACTTTACTCAGTCTCCTGATTCAAATGTTCATCTCATCCAAACACACCCCACAACATACCCAGAAGAATGTTGATCAAATATCTGGGCCCCCTGTGGCCCAGTCAAGTTGACATTTAAAAATTAACCATCACAGATGGTAAGAGTTTAAGTTGCCTTTGGACCAAGAGTTGGAAGCTGCCAGCTGAAGTTGGCATACCGAGTAGACGAAAAATCCTGGATTCTCAGTACTCTGCAGCAGCCATGACAGCCCTGAAAGCTTCCATGAGAACTATTACATGAGGAAACTAAACTTATAGCTTTAAAAAAAATTTATTTTATTGACGTATAGTTGATTTACATAAACTTATAGCTCTTTAAAGCCATTCTTATTTTATTTTCTGTGTCCGCCTTTTAAGTAATATCACAATTGTGTTTTTCCTTTTTGGTTCTTGAATATATGGGCTTTGTTTAAAGGAATTCAGAGTGAAGAAAAAAATGTTAAATTCTTTTGGAAATGTGGATTTTTTTCCCTATATGCATGACAGTATGAGGATGTGGATAAAAAAAGAGATTTGTGGGAAAAAAGACCTGCGTTTTCTTAATGGCTTTTAAGACAGTTTATAAGGCTATTTTGCCAAATACAAAATAGAATGTGATGTAGAGACAAAATTCTGTCTGTAATTCTCAGTTCTTTCTTTCTTAAATTGGTGAAAAGTTAGCTACAGAAGCACCATGTTGTGATCTTTGAGCCAACACTGGCTCTGCCTGGGTGTTGAAATATTTGTTCTGAGTAATCTTACCTTACAGTGTTGAGGTTTGCCTGTGTGTTTACTTTTTATTAGACATGTACCAATCTGACTAGTTTGAGTTTTATTGGCACTTATAACCATGAGAAGATCACTGACTCATGACAGCAGAATTTTAGGTGATTCATTCAATTCACTAATCAAAATTAGTTCAGCAATAATTACATTAGAGAACCAGTAACTAACTTACCTTTTCTTATTTAAAGGCACCTGAATTACTTGGTATCAAGGCGCTGCAACATTTATATTTATTGAAATATAATTTACATAAAATAGAATACACACATCTTGGGTGTTGCAGTGAGTTTTGACAACTGTATAAACCCATGTAACATTTGTCTGTGTCACAAAGAATGGACTGGAAGGAAGCAAGACCGGAGGTATGTCAAAGACCATTGCCTGAATCAGGATGGTAGGGCTTATGAAAAAAGACTTGAATTAAGAGATATTTCAGAGGTAGTTACATCAAGGAGGTGAATGGGTATCAGTGGTAAGGAAGAAAAATAACTCAAAGATATCTCCAAGATTTCTTATTGAAGCAACTGGCCATACGGTAGTACTATTTCCTGAGATTGAGAGTACTCAGAGGGCTGAAAATGAATGTGTGTGTGTGTGTGTGTGTGTGTGTGTGTGTGGTGGGGAGAAGCAGAGATGGAAATGTTGACAATTTTTGACGTATAGATTTTTTTGGTGCTTGCAGGACATTCAAATGATGATGTCTGCAAGACACATGTCTGGAGCTCAAGAGAGAAAATACTTGAATGGAGATATAAATTTGCTCATCATCAGCAAATATATGGTTATTGAAAGATAGCAGTGGATAAAATTGCCTGCAAAGAGGTGTGTAGCTTTTGAGGCTAATTAGTATATTTTTTTCCCCAAAGTGGGTTCCACGATAGACTAGCTCTATTAGATACTCTGAATAAAATTACTTTGTGGTCAAATAAGTTAGAAAATGTACCACATAGTACCCTACTCTTGAAGATGTATGAGATACATTATTGGATTAAAGGCCAGGAAGTCCAGCCGTATCAAAATATGTTTCACTTTTCGAAATGCTATGTTTCCCAAACACCCGCAAGTGTCATACAATGGGAGAAGGAAACCAAATCCTACCAGTTTTCTCCCTTGGGGTTTCACCTTGTGGATGACCCCCGTCCAACCAACTTGCCTCTGGCAATTGGAGTTCACTTTCCAATAACAGAAGAATGCACAAGTCTTTATGCCTAGTTGTAATACAATCAAGTATATTTGTTTGTTTCTGTTTTCCAAATACTTAACATCATATTTAAAGCAAATTCTGGGTTCCATGCCTGACATATATACTCATTTTATTTTCTAAACTCAGTTTAAAATTTAATGTCAGTGTTACTGTTTGAATACAAAGATAACTCTGATTTTGCTTTATTGTAGTATAACAGCAGAATACACCAAATCATTTAAAGATGTTTTTGAATATAGTTGATATTCTTTTTTCTTTCCTTCTTACCTAATATTTTTATGACATTGAAAATGTTATAGCAGGGCTTCCCTGGTGGCGCAGTGGTTAAGAATCTGCCTGCCAATGCAAGGGACATGGGTTTGAGCCCTGGCCTGGGAAGATCCCAAATGCCCGTGGAGCAACTAAGCCTGTGCGCCACAACTGCTGATCCTGCTCTCTAGAGCCGGCAAGCCGCAACTACTGAGCTCACAAGCCACAACTACTGAGCCCATGAGCCACAACTACTGAAGCCCACACGCTCCTAGAGCCCGTGCTCCGCAACAAGAGAAGCCACGACAATGAGAAGCCCACGCACAGCAACGAAGACCCAACACAGCCAAAAATAATAAATAAATAAATAAATAAATTTATTTCAAAAAATAAAAAAGAAAATGTTATAGCAGCAGGTGGTTGCCAAATCTTTCCAATGGGACAATGAAGCCAGGCTGTGGAGATCTGCAGTGCCTATTCAATTAAACAGGATTATTTTATAGTTTAACAAGGGAATAGGCATCCAGGTATGGTATTTTAAAGTAAAATTAACTGGAATACTCCTCCACATTTCTGCTGGAGTTATCTTTCTCAGAGATCTGATCAAGCACTTCTGCTTTAAAATCTTTAATGACCAACTACAGGAGACACCTAATCTTTGAATAGGTTAGAAATACTAATCTGATTTCATGTAGTTTCTTAATCTCATCTCCCATTTTTTTTATCAAGATACAATTGACGTACAGCACTACATAAATTTAAGATGTACAGCATAATGATTTGACTTACGTACATCATGAAATAGTTACCACAATAGTTACCATCTCATTTTCCTGTGATGAGAATTTTTAGGATTTACTTTCTTAACAATTTATATATAATACATACGTTCTTGACAGTTTTGTATATTATATATTGTATATATATTTGTATATAATATACAGTTTTGTATATATAATATATATGTGTTAATTATATCAGTTGTGTTGTACATTACATTCCTAGTACTTATTTATCTTATAGCTGGAAATTCGTGTGTTTGACCATCTTCATCCAATTCCTCCTTCCCCCACCACCACCTCTGGTAACCATAAATCTGATCTCTTTTTCTATGAGTTTGTTTGTTTTTGAAGTATGAAGGATCTACAACACTACATTATTTCCTGGTACACAACACAGTGATTCAGTATTTCTGTACATTTCAAGATGATCATTAGGATAAATCTACTTTCCCTCTGTCGCCATGCAAAGTTATTACATAATTATTGACTATATTCCCACACTATACATTTCATACCCATGACATTTGTAACTGAGAGTTTGTACCTCTTAGTCTCCCTCACCTATTTCTCTCCTCCCCCACCTGCCTTGCTGCTGGCAACCACCTGTTTGTTCTCTGTATCTATGACTCTGTTTCTCTTTACTTATGTTTGTTCATCTGTTTTTAGATTCCACATATAAGTGAAATTACACAGTATTTACCTTTCTTTGTCTGACTTATTTCACTTAGCATAATATCTTCTAGGTCCATCTATGTTGTCACAAATGGCAAGATTTCATTCTTTTTTTATGACTAATATTCCAGTATGTGTGTGTGTGTGTGTGTGTGTGTGTGTGTGTGTGTATCACATCTTCTTTATCCATTCATCTATTCATGAGCATTTAGGTTGCTTCCACATCCTGGCTATTGTAAATAATGCTGCAAGGGACATAAGGTATGCATATTTTTTCAAATTAATGTCTTCATTTTCTTTGTATATAACCCCAGGAGTGGAATTGCTGGATTGTATGGTAGTTCTATTTTTAATTTTTTGAGGAACCTCCATACTGTTTTCCACAGTGGCTGCACCAATTTACATTTGCACAGATTTCACGTACTTTCTTAATCTCATCTCCCACTTCTTTCCATACTCCTCCCAGAACTTCTCTCAGATACAATATGGACTCATTATTCTCTGTCCCTATATTATGCTCTCATTCTCCATGTCTTTGCTTAGAATTTTTTTCATTACCTCATTGCCTTCATTCTCCTTAAATATACTCATTAAATTCAGACTTCTACAGACAGAAGGAATAACTTTTCCACTGTTACAGCACTAATCATGTTAGGAAAACTAAGTGCATATGTGTACCTCTCTCCCACCATAGATTGTGAGCTTCTCAAGTAGGGGTTGGCAAACTTTTTCTGGAAAGGGCTTTGCAAGCCAATCGTACCAGTGTCAACTACTAAATTAAGCCATCTTAGTGTGAAAGCATCCCTAGATAAATATCTAAAAAATGAGTGTGGCTGTGTTCCTATAAGACTTTACTTATGGACAGAAATTAGAATTTCATATAATTTTCACGTGTCACAAATTTTTTTTTTCTTCTGACTTTTTTCCCCAACCATAAAAAATGTGAAATCTCTCTTTAGCTCATGGACCATACGAAAATAAGCTTGGTCCGTGGGCCGCAGTTTGTTAACCCTGTTCTAAATGGTAAGTCTATTTTATATTTATTTTCATACACTGCTGGCAATGAACAAAATACCTGGCACTGAATTAATGTTTGCTAAAATGAATCATATGGAGACAAATGATTTTCATTTTATGTTATCTTCCATCAGAAACTGCTGTGGTGGGATAGAGTAACATTTTTTAAATTAACTGAAAATTAACTAGAAAACCAGTTCTAAATTTCAATCTGTGTTTAAAAAAATCTTTCTGATGTGCTATTCCAATTTTCTGCCCTTGTAAGTACAGTTTAGTGAATATATTTAATGATTATCTTGCAGTGCCCCTAGGTCATGATTAAAGATAAGAACTCTCATTTTGCAGCCGAGCAAATGTAGATACTGAAGGTTTAGCTAACTGTGTGTGTATGAGGACTGGGATTTACTCTAGAAATTGCTTTTTTTTTTTTTTTTCGGTACGCGGGCCTCTCACTGTTGTGGCCTCTCCCGTTGCAGAGCACAGGCTCCGGACTCGCAGCCTCAGCGGCCATGGCTCACGGGTCCAGCCGCTCCGCGGCATGTGGGATCTTCCCGGACCAGGGCACGAACCCGTGTCCCCTGCATCGGCAGGCGGACTCTCAACCACTGCGCCACCAGGGAAGCCCCTAGAAATTGCTTTTTTGATGCCAATGTTAAATCTCTGCTATATACTTGTTTTCTAGTGACCTCCTTTTTTTTTTTTTTTTTTTTTTTTTTAATAAAGTGGGACATAGGGAGAAAAGCCAAACCAAAACAAGACTAATTACTGAAAGGTTCTTAATAGTTGAGTTCCAGTTTTACTACTTCCTATACAGGGAACTCTGAACATTGGTGCCATTGATTTTTTCTGCCTTGCTTCTTACCCCCTCACCCAAGAGAGTTAAAAGTGCAATGTTGGTTAAGGAGAAAATATTGAAAGCAAGCAAGTCTGTAACATTGATGTAAGGAGAAAAAAATCACAGGTCTCTGTAGCATAAATGCCTAGTTTTAATTACGCAGGTGAAGTTTTCCTTTAAATTAGACTGCCAAAATGGAAACTCAGAATAGTATACTAGAACAGTCTAGGAGTCCCTGCAGAGGGCAGAAGCACAGAGCCTTGTGGTTTTTTCCACCCAGAGTTCAGATGAGCACTTTCTTCTACTCAGATAGATTCTCTATCTTATTTTCCAGCCTGGTGCAGTGGAAAAAGCACTCATTTGGATCAGAAGGACTCGAGTCCCTATCTCTCTCTACAAATTCTTAAATATTTGCTAATATTAATATTTATTCCATAATACTGCAGTGAGATTTAATACTATAACATTAGATAATCCCATACATGGAGTCTCAGTAGGTATGTGGTCCCTCTACCAGCCCACTTAACCATCTAATATAGAACAATAAATATAATACTGGTTTCTATTTCTCATCATGTTGTTGTCTATTAAGAATAAGAACCTCAAAAAAAAAAAAAAAAAGAAAGACCACCTCAAGAGATGGTCTTGTTCAGCCATTGTGCTCTACTAGAAGAGGCATCATCTCCAGTTTTACAGATACAACCACTTAACAAATACAACCAAGACATAAAAAAGAATTAATTAACTTGTCCAAGGTCAAGCATATCTTTCTATTCTAGATTGTCAGGAGTTCAGTGCCATTCTTGAGAGGGTTGTCATTGGGAGAGATTGATTTGGCTCATAAATCCTGAGAAGCTAAATGCAATGAGGGGAAGTTTCGGACAAGGGCCAGCCTGAGCTCAGTTGTAGCTCTTCTGAACTCAAGACACAGAACGGGAAAATTGACACCAAGGTGGTCGCCCAGGGAATATGCTCTGAGAGGTGTCAAGGAAGACCCTCTGGCAAAATGTATCCTAAGTGCCATTGTTTGGAATTTCATAAGAGTTCCATCTTTTGGGTTAAGCTGGGCCCTTAACTTTTTTCTTCTTTTTTCTATTCATTCAAGGATTGTTCATTGAGCATTAATAATGTACTAATGCAGTATTAGGGAATGGAACAAAAGAAAATAAAACTGGGTCAGCTATTAAGATGTTCACAGTCTAATGAAGGAGACAGAGAAGAATAATAATGACAAAAGTAGCTAACATTTTCCGCATGCCAGACACTGCAAAATAATTTATAGCTATTTTCTCTCCTAACTCTCATATCAGACCTAAGAATTAAAAGCTATTTAAAACCCCATTTTCCAGAGGAAAATGGAATCCTGAAGGGGTAGACAATATTTTAAGGAAACTGGCCTAGGTTAAGTCCATGGGAATAAAGATGGAGAGGAAAGGATAAAGAATCAACCAAGACTGTTTCCTAATCCTTTACTGGTTGCTGTTTCTAATATCATTTGCAAGTTTCTCCTCTTCTCACCAACTTTCTGATGTTGGAAAGTCCCAGGGCTCACTCCTTATTTTTTACTTGTCTATTCTTATGTTCTTGCTTAGTGAACTTAATTTAATCCTATAACTGTAAAAACCATCCATATGCTGACGATTCCAAAATTAATTTCTCTAGCCCAACCTCTTTCTCATACTCCAAACTTATATATGCAACTGCCTGCATAAAACCTACACTTACTTAGATATCTAGTAGACACCTCAAACTTAATATGTTCAAAGATGAACTCAGCTTCCCCTAGACCTGCTCCACCTACCCCAGTTTATAACTCTATCCTTCTAGCTGTTCAGGACAAAAATCTTGGAGTCATTCCTGACTCCTCTTGTCCTCATTCCCCATATTTCAATCTGTCAAGAAATCTCGTTGAAGAGTAACATCGCCAGTTAATAAGACACTTTGTCACCATGTATATTCCGATATGATGCATAGAGAAAGAAATACATCTTGTCTGTCATATTTTTTTTGCCAAAAATGCAATCCAATTATGAGAAAATATCAGACAAACCTATATTGTGGGACATTCTACAAAATAACTGACCATTACTCATCGAGAATGCCAAGGTCGTGAAACACAAGGAAATACTGAGGAACTGTGTGTCACAGATTGGAGGAAATTATGAAGACACAAGTACTAAATGCAGTGTGGGATCCTGGCACAGAGAAATGACATTGGGAGAAACCGGAGAAAGTTGAATGAAGTTTGTAATTTAGTTAATCGTATTGTATCATTGTTAATTTCCTGGTTTTAAATAATAACAACTGCAATTAAGTAAGTTGTAAATATTTGGGGAAGCTGAGTGATGGGTATATGGGAACTGTCTCTTTTTTTTTTGCAACATTTCTGTAAGTCTAAAATTATTTCAAAATGAAGGGAAAAAGAAGACCAAGACTAAAAAGAAAAAGAAATCTTGTTGGACCTTCCTTTGGAATTTATGTAGAATCTGGTCACTTCTTCTAACCTCTGTTGAAACCACTTTGATTCAAGATATAATTATCTCTCACTTGGATTATTGTAATAACCTTCTAATTGGTCTTTTTGTTTCTGTTCCTGCTTCCTCAGTTTCCAGTGCAGTAGCCGGAATAATTCTCTTCTAAGTAAAAACATGAAATCCTACATTTTTTCCACATTGGACTTTGGTAAAAGTCAAAGTTCTTACATGGAAGCCCAAGACCTCATACCCTCTGGCCCTCAGTTGCCCCTCTGGCCTCCTCTGGTACCACTTTCCCACCCTTTCACTTGCTTCAGCCATACTGACCACTTTGCTGTTCTGTGAACAGACCAGGAACATCCTCATTGGACAACCTGTGCACTGGCTGTTCCCTCTGCCAGGGAACATTCTTCCTCCAGATACCATCATGGCTATGCCCCTGTGCTTGAATAGCACGTCTCAGTGAGGCCTACCTGCCCTCTTTGTTAAAAGTTTCAACCCTGACTGCCCACTCATGTGTCACTCCCAATCCTCTTAATTCTACTTAAAATTTTTTTCCCATTACACTTCTCATTCTCTAAGAGACTGTTTAAGTTACTTATCTGTCATCATCATTGTCATCGTTATCATTGTCATCATTATCACCATTATTAGGAAGGGTCCGGTCTGTCAAAACTTGAATGTAAACTCTAGGAGGGCAGGGCTCTTTTCCCACTTTGCTTGCTGATATATCCCAAGAGCCTAGAAACATTCCTGGCACGGAATAGGCATTCCATAGATACTTGTTGATAAACTGAATAGAAGGTAGAATAGACAAGAATTGAACATTGCTTTGATGGTAAAGGAAAGGATAGGGTGTATCGAAATTCTATGACTATGGATCTCGGTTATGGGAAGGAAGACTGCTCCACTAGTCAGTACAGAAAGACAGATTGACAATGGAAGATATCGGTTGACTATTCCTGTGCACATGTCCAACATATTGTTCAATGTGTAGCTCTGCAGCTCAGGGTAGAGATCTGGGGTGGAGAGAGAAATTTGGAAGTCTTCTCCTGTAATGGTAGGCTTGAAAAGAATGAGAAAAGGAAGGTCTCTTGCAGTTTTGAATATCCTTGTTTATAATGACCAGGTCCTCACAGGAGGAAGTCTGAGTGATGTGGAGCTCTGGAAGGCTGGGGTGGGTGCGGATGGAGAAGATCACAAAGGAACGTTACTGGGTGCCTGAGACACACTTTACCTACTTCCCAATTTGACATAAGGCCAAAGGTTGAGGGAGGGGAAGGATTAGAGAATGCACATAGCAGTTCCTTGTCATTTAAGGTAAAGCAGAACCAAAAGGTGATGGGGCAGAACCCCTAATGCCTTACCCAAAATGGAGCAAATCAGACTTAACATATGTGCAATTTTTGTATTATCACTGAGCTGCAGTTAGGGGAGGGTGTGGGGACACTAATGAGGTGTGGGGGGAGGATCATGGCCTAGTTCTTAATCTCCTAAACTTTAACAGCCCAAGGAACACTCTGTGGTGTTTCTCTCAAGTCTCTCAGGCTATCACTTTGTCCCTTCTTCAGAGCATAATTTTGTCATGAAAGCTTTCACTTGGCAAGAATCCGATTCATCAAGAAAGATAGAACTCTGTGCTTGCACGCTTCAAGCAGAGGGAAAGTCTACTTTGGCAAGCTTTACAAGGAAAGAGAGAAAAGAAAATAAGAGCCATAAATCAACTGGAGGCCAGAATACAGGATTAAAGATACTCGATCCATTTCAGAAAGGACTTCTGCTTGCATATGTTTACCTAATGACCCTTTCTTCCCCTATCAGCCTGTAGATCCTCCCTTCGTTTGAGCTGGGCAAGTGACATCTCACGTCACAGGCTGCCTTGGGGAAAGAGGAGACTGCATGGAGACTGGCGTAGGTTTACTCCTCTGTCACCCCTGTGAGTCCTTGTTCCTAGGCAATGTCCACTTTGAGAATTTCACATTGGTGTTTATGTGATAGTACAGCTTCAGAAATAATAAACACTTGTAACTCAACCCCTGTTAGTCTGTGGTAAACAGAGGAGAATGGCATGATTCCCATCTTGTAACTAGCCAGCTCCCCTTCACATGACTAATTTAAGTTGCTGAAGTCATGTATTCACAAAGCCTGGGTGAGAGTCAGATTTTAAGGGAGTCTATGCTTCATGAAATTGGGCAATTTTCAAACACCTAGGCTTTCAAATTTGTGTTCTCAACACCTGAACTTTAATGAACTTTTCTTCCTTTTTAGATGGGTTAAGAACAGCTCTACACCCCATCATGAGTCACCCAGGTAATGATTGCCTGTTGATTTTGTAATAAAATGCTACTGATCAAATCTATCATGTCACTCTTTAAATTATCAAGAAAAAACAATTTACATGTGCCAAATTACACCTGAAGACTGAAGAGAAAAAATACCTGTTTTAATTTGTTTTTAAATCTAATGATATTGTACTTTGCGTCAAGAAATATGGTAAGGAAACTTCAGATAGCACAATGAGCTTTACTTCTTGCATGTGGAAGGCTGGCCTACCTTAACTCTCATTAGCAGTATCCACTTGGAAATGAAGTAATTTGAAAAAGGAATGAGCAGTTTGGAGCCTCCCATAACCCTTCCTGTTATATCTTGAATTTAGTTAAAGGCAGTCCTCAAAGATTGCTTGTCAGTTCATTGTATTTGATTAGAACACATTTACCCAGAGAGAAGAAAGAAAGAAACTAGCATTTATTTAGATAGGGTTTCCTGCTATAGTGTGTTTCCAGTGTAATGATGCATGCATGCAAGAACTTAAGTATACTATGAATAAATATTTGTTGAATGAATAAATAAGTAATTAGCCAATGGCAAAGTGTTCTCCTTGATTCCAGGGACAAGGGTAGCTTTTCAAGTGCATTTGCCTATTGTTCCCAGGAGTTGAGATAATATTAATACAGGAAGTACTCACGGTCCTTCCACTGGTGGCTTCTCTGCCTTAGCACTAGCCCTAGAAAAATGCATTCACATTTTCCTGCATGCTGAGGAGAACTAATCCTTGTCTAGCTGGGAATAAAAGGTCAAGGGTTGTAACTCATGTAATCTTTCTGGAACACTCAACTTGTGTGCTGCTCCGTGGGCCACGGGCCATGCCTAGAGATTACTTACTCAACAGCTTCCCAATGCATCCGTCTCTCCCTCTTCCAAACTTCCACTTAATCAACTGGAAATTTGATTTCAGGGTGATGCTTTAGAGCATTTGGTTTCGTTTTGAAATACTGGTAGCAGTAACTATTTCATATTCTTTTTTTTTTCTTACAGTTTATATGGTCAAAACAGCCTAGGTCAGAACCACGTAGAAGCCATAGTCTTCACGTCACAAGAGTAGAACTCTTGGATTTTAGTCACCTTCTTTACTTGTATAAACCACAGAGACAAAAGCCGTTGCATAGCTGCAGCTCAGTTCATCCAGTTCATCCATGATGGGTTTGGAGAAGCCAGGCTTGGTTCCAGATATGTCTAATTAAGCCCTGGCGATTTGGAGTAGGGCAGAATAAGATGAGGTCAGTGGCGTTTGCTGTGGATCTGTTGAGTAAGAAGTAGACTCTAAGACTCCTGTTTCGAAGGTGCCTGCATTTACTTCAGGTCAAAGAGATTAGCATGAGACATTTTTGCACCTGGAAATATAAATTGCATGCTTAGTAATTGCATGTGCCGTAAAGGAAGTTTTATTAAGGCCTCGGGAAGAGTGGACTTATAGGCCACATATGGTTACACAAGTGAGAAACTAGCACAGGGGCTAGCGGATAGGGATTCCAATCTGAGTTTGGAGCAGGTGGGTACTCAGATTCCGAGCAATACTTTTTAAGGTGGTATCATGAGTTAGAGCTGGGAAATGCGTCCGAGCTAAGTGAGCAGAAGCAGAAATCTAGTGCCTTTCTTTTTCATTGGAAATACTCAAGTTTTGTAGGGCAGATTAAACCTGAGAAATCTAAGCGCAGTTGGAAGAGTTAGACTCTGGAAATCTGGCAAGATGAAAGGTGAGTGATGAAGGTGGTTTCGGTCTAAACCAGAGTGAGTGCTCAGCACTCTTTTTGGCAAAGCTCATTTTGGCAACATCGTTACACCCTTCCCAGGGGAGAAACTTGGGGCTGAAAGATTAAGGACACTGTAGATCAAAGGTTAACTGTGTTAATGTATTTATTTGGGAAACTCTACAAAAGCCCTTTATTAACCTTGGCTTTTGAAGACTGAGTTGTCAGGCCCTCACTTTCATGATCACATTTTCATCTAAAAATGTTCTGAAGCCGTCCAGTATCAAAACAGAATCCATGTACCTCAGGTAGAAACATGTTAAACTGCATGGTACCTGTAATCCTATGTACACTGGCAGCTTCGTGGCTTAGCTACCTATCACGTGAGCTATTCTTTTGTTCCTATAAATTTAGTTACTATTTCAAGAGACAAATATTTTTAAAAAATGGGGTGGAGGGAATGTTCTCCATTATTTAAAAAAAGTCCTCTTTAGAAATTAAGCTTTCAGCTCCCTAATCTTTTAGGGGAATACTTACTATTTGAAAAAATATGCGAGGTGTCTTTTAGTCTTAGGGGGGGGTTTAGTAACAAACCATTATTATTTGCAGGCTGATTCTTCTGTGAGAAGCCAAGTTGCCTTAATGACAGCTTATGCAATAACAATCCATGATATAGTACTTACCGGGATGGAGCAACAACTGTGCTCTAAGCCAAGAATAAGGAGGAAAAAAAAAAGTCAGTATCTTGTGCGTGAGAAGCTTGTAGATACCCCGAGGTGACTTCATATAATTCTAAAATAGCAGGTAGCTTCTTGCATAGCTAATCGAAGCATCAGCGCCCGGAGCAAGTGGAGGAGGCTGACAGTGTACTTTGGTTTCAGATGCATTCAGCTCTTTTATGAGTGATATGAGCTTAATTCATATTCTAGTTTCTATCCTAAAAGTTTATGTGCTCTGATCTGGCAAATAGCCTCCCCCAGAACTTGACAGCTCTGTGCTTTGATACAGCTGCTGATCTTAACGTCTCACTTGTATTTGTTCAGTCTATGTGCTGAGAAAGTTAGTACAGCTGAATAAAGGGAATGGTTGTGTGTGTTTTTATAAGCACTTGAGTTATACCTCCACCTTCCCCTTCCATTCATGGCTTAGTGAAGGACACAGGTGTCTCACTTGAAAAACCTGAAATACACAGTAGGTTGAGTAGAAAGAGCTTACAGAGAAAGGAGTCATCCTGACTTTGCAAAGTAGGTTGGTCATTTCTGGAAAGAGCAGTCTCTGTCAGAGTGAAGGTCACAGAGAGACATGCTTAGGTAATTTTAATTACCAGTGTCTTGAGGTTTTCCCCTGAAAGTCTAACATCAGCAGATGCCCTTGCTTGGTCACTATGTCCATCCAGGATCTGGGCTACCTTTTTGAGTCTACGTGACCCTCTGGTTTAGATCATAGAGCAAACAGTTTCTTGTAGGGACCATTGCCCACTTGCTAGGCAATCACAGGCACGAAGCAGATCTGCCTTACAAAATGAAGGGCTCCGAATCACATTTATTGCTGCGGTGCTCAGGAAGCTACAAACGGAAACTCCACATGCAAAGAGCCCATAATTTTACTCTAATAGATATTTAGCAGCTTAAATGAAATAACAAGGAATACATTCACCCAGGCGCCATCCAGGTGGATTTGGTGGGTATTTTACATTCCACTCTTTGAAAGGAAAAACATAATTTTTTTAGACTCTCCCAAGGTGGATGAATATTTTGGTATGCAGAGCGATAATGCATAACATACCTTTAAGGTTGAACCAAGTTCTGTTTGGCCAAAGGGATTTACTGCTATCAGTATAATGCAGCCCAGTCAATCAAGTTGGATTTTTCTTCCAAATCAGCTCATTAGAACTCACCCAGGCAGCCACTTGCCTTTTGCCTTGTTTGTTCACATGCTGTTTGATTTACTTGAGCACGGTATCAACAACTGTGAGCTCTGTAACTTGCCACTCTGTGCCTGTTTTGCCTTAATCCCCAGACCCCAGCTCTCAGGGATGGTTTGCAGTCCCAGTATTTTTCCTTTCTAGCCATCAGAACTCCATGGGTCTATCTTTGCCCGCTTCCAGGCTCATTCTCCTTCAAGGCACTGTCCCGAGTCTTTTTTTTTTTTTTGCGGTACGCGGGCCTCTAATTCCTGTGGCCTCTCCCGTTGCGGAGCACAGGCTCCGGATGCGCAGACTCAGTGGCCATGGCTCACGGGCCCAGCCGCTCTGCGGCATGTGGGATCTTCCTGGACCGGGGCACGAACCCGCGTCCGCTGCATCGGCAGGCGGACTCTCAACCACTGCTCCACCAGGGAAGCCTCCGAGTCTTCTTTTGATCCCACTCCGGCACATCTGTTCAGTGCCCTCTCTCCATGGCACTTGCCCTCATACAGCCCCTTCGTGTCCCCAGGCTGGATAGCTGTCACGTCGACAGGACTATAGTGTAATGGTTACCCAGGCAAAGCCCTGGCTCATGTCCTGCCTTTGCATGTGGAGGATGTCATTACCCAGCTGTAATACGGGCATAATAATGGGACTTCCCTCTTAAATGGGAGCAGGCAAATAAAATACTTAGCATGGTGCTTGGATAGTTAGGGCTCAATAAGAATTATTATGGGGAGTTGCCTGGTGGTCCAGTGGTCAGGACTTGGTACTTTCACTGCCTGTGGCCTGGGTTCAATTCCTGGTCAGGGAACTAAGATCCTGCAAGCCATGCAGCGTAGCCAAAAAAAAAAAAAAAAAAAAAGGAATTATTAGGAGTGTCCACTAATCTTCCTTCCTCTTTACCTCACCTTCCCACGATCAGCAAAGTTGTCTTCCTTCTACCCGGAACCGATCAAGTTGCTGCCCTCCTCAGGAATCACAGGTCATTGCTGGTACTCAAAGCCATCCCTACTTCATGCCTGAGTCTCCTTCATCCCAGCCCCGCAGGCATCTGGCATCTCCTGGATCTGGATCGCTCTGGCTCCTCTGCCCCTTTGCTCACACACCACCTAGAATGTCACTTTCTTTCTCTGCCACTTGTTAAAATTCTACTCATCCCTCAAGGCCCTGGTCAAATGTCACCTCCTCCAGGCAGCATTTTTATCTAAATATGTTTTAAAGCCTTCTCTGGCCATCTACTTAGAATTGATTGCTCTTTTGGTCACAGTCTCATAGCACTTTGTTTGTTATCTCTAGCTAGACCTGCCCAATTATGTTTTGTAATAAAGTTAGTTGCTGATATCTATCCCCTGCAGGGGATTCTAAACAACTTCAGGGCAGGAATTTAAAAAATCTCAGTATCTACATAGTGCTTTGCTCATAATATACGAGAGATAAATGTTTTAGAATTGAATTAAAATGAGGTATTATGTGGATAGCCTCTCAATATCTCTAAGTGGTCTGGGCATATTTATTACAAAACTTAGGAGGTAAGTGTGGCTCTGGGGACATAAGAGTACAATAAATTGAAACGCATAGGACACTCCAGCCTCTTTGACAGTCAGCAGCAGGGGAAGTCCTCACTGATCCCAGCCCCTCAGTGAGACAGCAGATGGGAGGTGAGCTGGTGGGCAGGAGGCATCTTTCACTTGGACTCACCATGGAGACGTAAGGGACAGGGCTTTCCTCCTCTACTAGACAGTGAAGAGAGAGAGCTACTTCTGCTTGGCACATTATCCCAAAATGTGGTTCTTGGCCATTCCATGGTGAGATTTGAGCAGGGAGAGATGAGATTCATCCCTGGTTGACGTTTCATAGAAAGCCTGATTCCAGCATCAAGAAGGACACTATGTCGTTAGATAAAAAGTTTCATCATCTCTGCAGACGGGAAAGATGCCCGGAGTGTCTGTGTTGAGGGTGCTACTTGTCCACGGAAACTTCTTCTACCCTTCTTTCCTGATGGCAGAGCTGCAGCTGGGAGTGGCTGCCTACCTCAGCACTGCAGTGCCCAGCTCCCTCTGCAGCCAGGATTGAGGCAAAGAAATGTGCTCAAAATTGATGTGTGCAACGTCTCACTCATTTCGAGAGGGAAAGTCTGGCACTGGATCTCTACTTTTTTTTTTTTTTTTTTTGTGGTACGCGGGCCTCTCACTGTTGTGGCCTCTCCCGTTGCGGAGCATACGCTCCGGACGCGCAGGCTCAGCGGCCATGGCTCACGGGCCCAGCCGCTCCGCGGCATGTGGGATCTTCCGGACCGGGGCACGAACCCGTGTCCCCTGCATCCGCAGGTGGACTCTCAACCACTGCGCCACCAGGGAAGCCCTGGATCTCTACTTTTCCCTCTCTTTCTACTGGGGGTTGGGGTGGGGGATGGAAGCCATGAAACTGATGATGGAAGCCATTTGTTGAAGTTGGCAGAGCTGCATCAGCCTGGCGCCCTGAACACCTGTGTAAAGGCAAGCCTCGTGATAAAACTGGACAGTTTCAACCACTGCATTGCACTTTTTATAGTAGCTTTTAGTTCCCTAATACAGGGTCTTTCCCTTTTCCATCTACATAAAGTTATCAACATTTATTGAACACTGACTATGTGTTAGACCCTCACTCTTTGAGGGTGTGAAAACAAGAATGAATGATTCTTAGTCCTTTTCTTTAAGGCATTTATAGTCCAACTGAACAGATAAAACACATAATAATAAAATTGCCTGTACAGGTATGTCATCACTCAGACCACAGACTATATACAATAGAGGTTATGGGAGGAAAGAGAGATTTCTTTAGGCTGTAGTGAGCTAGAAAGTTTTGTGAAGGAGGTGAGGCTTGAGAGATTTCTTGAGATCAGATTTGGAAAGATGGAGAGGTACAAGGAAGGCATTCTGGATGGGCAAGGGCAATGTGTGTCTTGAGACTGGGGGAGGTGATAGTGAGCCCAGTAGTCTGGACAGAGGAAGCAATTTGCTTGTGTCAGAGAGCAAAGCAGTTACCTTTGGAAAAGTGGTTGGGCTGTGATTGGGAAAAGTCTTGAATACCAGACAGCCTTGGGAATTGGTTTCTCCCTGGAAGCCGATGGGGAGCTCTCTAAGGAAGAGCATACTGCTGTGAACCTTTCAGTTTGTATGTAGTAGCCCAAGCAACCTTTTGTTTGTTCACAGATCTGTTGTCCTAACACCTTGTAGGAAGCTGTGAGAAATCTGATTCGGTCTCCAAAGTACAGTTTTTCAACAAATAGTTGGTTTGTGTACCTAGGGCCTAAGGCCATTCCACAGAACAAACTGCAGATGACAACACGCCGATGGTTGTGTCACTGGTCCAACCCTTTCCTTTTAACCCTACTGTTAAAACAAACTTCATCTCATCAGTTTCCCATTTCCCACATCAGTGATTTCTCACTGCACCTGTCTTTTATATATATATATATATATATATATATAATATATATATATATATAAATTTATTTATTTACTTATACTTTTTATTTTTGGCTGTGTTGGGTCTTCATTGCTGCGCGCGGGCTTTCTCTAGTTGCAGCGAGCGGGGGCTACTCTTTGTTGCGGTGTGCGGGCTTCTCATTGCAGTGGCTCCTCTTGTTGAGGAGCATGGGCTCTAGGCACACGGGCTTCAGTTGTTGTGGCTCATGGGCTCAGTAGTTGTGGCTCGGGGCCTCTAGAGCGCAGGCTCAGAGGAAGTCCTGCACCTGTCTTTGAGCACAGGCTCAGAGGAAGTCCTGCACCTGTCTTCCCTGCACCAGGGAAGTCCTGCACCTGTCTTTGAGTAATTACTTCTTGAAAAAAAGTATGGGACTTCCCTGGTGGTGCAGCAGTTAAGAATCTGCCTGCCAGTGCAGGGGACACAGGTTCGAGCCCCGGTCTGGGAAGATCCCACATGCCGCGGGGCAACTAAGCCCGTGTGCCACAACTACTGAGCCTGAGCTCTAGAGCTGGTGAGCCACAACTACTGAGCCCTCATGCCACAACTACTGAAGCCCGTGCGCCTAGAGCCTGTGCTCCGCAACAAGAGAAGCCACCGCAATGAGAAGCCCGCGCACCGCAACGAAGAGTACCCCCCGCTAGCCCCCACTCGCCA